TCTTCCATGTTCATCCATGTGGAACAAATGTAACAGTGTCTTGTATTTGAAACTGGGGAGTCCTGTTTTGTCCTCTATCAAAATAGAAACTGAGGTTTCTTACACAAAGCTAAGGTGACAAGATCACAACACTAAAATATTGGGACACATTGGAGTGCCGTCAGCCCTGCCCACAGACCACTCCCACTCCTCTCAGGCTCTGCCCCCACTCTGCCCCAGGTCCTGCCCCCTCCCCGCTTGCCCACTCCCCACCGTGCCCTTCCTCATCCCCCAGGTGGCTTGCTGCATCCCTCCTCAGTCCCCCACCCACCGCTCGCCTCCTCACCCCCCCCCACCCGACCTCTACATAAATATATAAATAAATTGCAGGGTGGGATGTGGGTTCACAAGGGTGGTTTGTCATACTAACAAGTTAAAGTGCTGAGCCTTTGAGGCATATAAATAATAATTAGCAGCACATTTCAGGGGAGGAGGGATGTCACCCACACAGGCATACATTTTTGGAACAGGTGCACTCCCAGTCAAAATACAGTTGACCTTATCAGGGTTCCAAAATGTTACTACTGCAGGATTTGGGGAAATTGAGAAGGGCTGAAGCTGAGTCTCTTTTTTAGCTTAGGGCCTCTCTGCCAGTATACAGTACTACACTAAGGATTAATGCAGCCATGTTTAGTGAGGCAAAGTGCAGATTCATAGATCCAGCCCCTACTTTCCAAGTTTTCTGTGTTACTGCTGAATTTTGAGAGATGCATCTTGACTGAACAGATGAACGTTTTCTAAAAGTCAAGTGCATTAAGTTGATTTTTTTTAAAAATGTTCTGACATGCCAGCATGAATAGAGCTCCAAAAACTTACTGAAAGAACATTTTAATGTGGCACTTGGTGACTTACAGGTTCAAAGCCATTGATCAATTTAGCTGCAGAGAAAGGTTAGGTTTTTTTCTCCTATATCACTAATCAATTACTCTAATGAAAAAGAAAAGAAACAGAAATTGATCTGGTTAGGAGTATTCATTTGTGTCAGTTATATGGGTGATCCTTTGTTTGATTTCTTTCTGAACCTACTTAGTGATGAGACTGGAACAGGAGTGAAAATCTTCTTATACTAA